TAAATGTGAAGTCCTTTACTTTACAGAAGATCAAGATCTGGGAGAAATGACTTCTTGAGCCATGTATGGAAAAATGCAGTTTCATTAAAATAGGAATTTAAATATCAATTCAAATTAGAATATTATGTGTTTGATCCTTTAAAAATAACCCTGGCGAATTTCAGCACCTTTCCTTGGTCAGATTGGCCATCCTTGCTTGTGGATGAAGAGAAAACCACAGTGGTCTCTGTATCCTGAGCAAATCAGACAGTGAGCCCGAAGACCTGGGTGGGCAGAACTGGAAAAGGAGAGCGTCCCGAGGTGCAGGCCCCTCTAGGCCTTCAGCGTTCTCTGAGCACAGTTTTAAATGAAAACCAGCCTCTGCCGTGCAGTGGCCCTCGTGGGGTTAACTCTATTCCTGAACTGTTTTCTGACCCACTGTTGACCTCTTCAGCACTCAGAAAAAATGAGGCAGCGGCAAGGACATTTCGTAGTTTCCTAGCCCCAAACTCAGAGCCAACACAAGTGAGGAGTTGGAGGATTTTGGCTTTGATACCAGGGCCTCCCTCCTGTTGGCTTCTTTCCTCCTTACTGGGGAGTCAACAAACTATTTTTGTGTGGCCCATGAGCTAAGAATGGCTTTTACCTTTTTAAAGAGCTGAGGGGAAAACATCCAAAGAAGAATAATATTTTGTGACATGAAAATCAGATTTCAATGCCCATGAAGTGTTACTGGAACACAGCCACACCCGTTCACTTACGCAGTGTCTAGGGCGGCTTGAGAGCTACGTCAGTGTTCAGACCATATGGTCTGCAAAGCCTCAGATATTTACTCTGGCCCTTTACAGAAAATCTGCCAACTGCAGCCTTACCTTCTGTTTCTGGAGCAGTCGTTTACACCGAGGTGTAAGTGTCCGATAACAGCCTCAAGCCCTAACTTGCTGAAGGGTAAACCCTTCAGAAGGAAATTTGGACTGCAGTAGGAAAAAAGCTTTCTGATAAAGCCTAGAGAATTAAGGGGGTGGGGGTGTCTGGCAACAGCCAGGGGTTGGAGGAAGATGTCTGGGAGCAGGGCATGTTCCCTGAGCCCCAGAGTTGTGCTCTTCCAAGCCAGCTGTAAGCCAGCTTCCAAGCAGGCGGGATCTGCACCGCACACGGAGTGAGGCATTTTCATCGCAGTTATGCAGAATTCCCTTTTCCTCTCTCTCCAAGTCTACTCACTAACAGGATGTTTCCTCACTGGCTACTGCCTCTACTCGCCAGTAATGTGCTGTCATTTTTTATTCATCATCTCTGGGCTTCATCAGGAAAGTAGCAGCTACTTTCACACCTCAGAGGATTGTGAAATATTCCAGCTGCTGAAGGAATTATACCTTCTGCAAATTATACTTTGTTTTTACCAGGCAACATGGGCAGCACCCTTCCTTGAATATGACAAAACCCACCTCAAGTTGGGGTAAGCAGAAAGGGAATTTACTGACATGGAAGTGGGGAGTCCTGAGGTAGTTCTGGCTTCAGACATGGCTGGATTCAGGAATTAAAAGAAGATAATGTGTTTCTGGCTCTCGCCCTCCACTCTGCTTCATCCTGCGCTGACTTTTGTCTCAGACAGGCGTTGCACAGGTCCAGCTGCTCTTCTAGCATCCTATCCATCAGATCTTATCCTGCAATTCTTCCCTATGGTTCCAGAAAAAAATCCCACGACTAATGCCTCTTGATTCTGATTGGCTTGGCTTAGGTCACATGCTCATTACTGACCAATCCCTGTATCTGAGGCTGTCTGTATTCCCAATGGCCAGGCTGGGTCACATGCTTTTTCCTCCAGGCAGTGAGATAACAGTGAGGCAGGGGTGTTCCCCAAAGGAACATCAGTGGGAGGCGACCACTAGAAAAAGAGGTAGTGAGAGATGGGCAAGAAAAACCACAGCAGTGTATCATTCAACTGTAAGTTGTAGAGTCCTTAAGACATGCATAAGTAATAAATAGAAATATAGAAGGCTTGCCAGAAAGAGAAAGAAAAATACCATGTGATATCACTT